TATATATCCATTATTACTATATGTATTACGTAAGAATTATATTTCATATATTGTAGTTATAGCAGAAATTTAACATGATGATGCAACTAAAACTAAAAAAATATTTGATTATTAAATATAACGAACAATTATTTTTTGTGACTTTGTCACAATGCCGGGCTGCAATTTTTATCATATTTTTAATTTATTTCATTTAAAATATATGATCTCCACCTCAAATTAGTATTATGGTGTCTTGCCCCTGTACATCATACTTTTCTGTTAGCAACGGAGTCGTGCCGTTTATTTATTATCTCTAGTAATTATCTCCTTTCAGAGAAAAAGTTTTGGATTGAAATAACTTTACTTTCGGTTTGTATCGGAAGTTCATACATAGTTAATCGGGGCCTCCTGCGTTTAAGGCTTCCATATCTGTTCTCATCTTTCATCTATCAAACTCCATTCTCGAGATTAAGGAAAGACGAACGGACAGACTGACAGACGGACAGACGACAGTGAAAATTTATAGGTCTACAATTTTTGCAAATTGCAGTCCAAAAACTTTATTCTGTTTGAAAAAACTGCAACGCAAAAATACACAAAGTTATATGTATTATTGTATATGATTGATTTATGGTAAGCTAATCTCTTATATAAATAATAATCACATGATATCACTGAACGAATCACTCATACAGATTGAATCATTCTTTCATATGAATGTGAAAGAGAAAAAATCATATTTTATTACGTTACTAAATACAGTGTATTTATTTGAAAACTACGGGTTCCACGGTTTAAATTTATACTTAGGCGTCTACCGGCTTTATATTTAAGTGTAGAAGTAAACTAAACAAAGTTTAATTATTTACAAAAATTAAATATACATATATTAGTAGTAGAAGGAGATGCAATTGCTCCTTTTCACCTCCCTAAGAGCATATACTGTATTCCTATTCCTATACAGAGTACAAGGACCATGGTGCCATCTATTGATTATCATCGTATTTTTCGTTATTTTAATTTTAAAAATTCAAATTAATCGATTCTTATTTTATTTTTCTGAATTAATCAATATTAATTTAAACAACAAAATTGGAATTTATTAAATTCTATTTAATTTTTACATATTTCAAGCAAATTAAAAACATATATATTCCTGGNTAATGTTATTTGTTTAATTATTGTACGATATAACGAATAAAATATCTAATTATTCTTAATATAATGTTTTACTATATCGCCCAGAAAATTGTTTTTTCGCCCCCAAAATATAAATTGTTACTAATCGCCCCCTGAACATGGACAAACACCCACATGGGGCGATATCGCCCCCGTTGAGAAACATTGGTTTACACGATTAAATATTAGAAAATTAATTTGTTTTCCGTTCCAAATATCGTACGATACGTCAAAATAATCTGACTTAATTATTCGAAATAATTATTTTTTGGATCAATTAATCTTGGATATTTATGATTTTTTTCCCGAATATGCTTAACGAATTTGCATTTACGAGAAGAAATAATGTCAGTAATCACGAAAGAAGTCGGTTAACCATTTTGTAGAAACTTTAATCACGTTTCAACTTCCATTACTATCAGATAATCACGTAAGCATTTACATAGTTAAAGTTAATTACATTCGGAAAATTAAACTCAATTTACTTTGCCATACAAATGTAATATTGAAATTTCGTCATCTATGAAAACGTTTGTTGTATTAATATTCCAAATAAAATTGGAATACTAATCAAACTGCTTGTTGACAAACTAGAAATCTTATTTTAAAAATTATTTAAATAATAATTATTATCTGTTTTATAGAGCTCTAACAAATTTATATAAATTCACAGATTTTACACACAGTTAAACCTCAATATAGTGCTCTCCTAAATGGTGCCACCCCGTCAAATGCCAAGAAATCTTTGAGAACGGATCTTCCGCATAATTATTAATTAATTAAAGAACCCTTCAGTATATTAATTGTTAAATGCACGGTTTTGTATTACAAACCACAAATTCACCAAATCACACAATTTTCCAAAACCTCAAACACAATTTTCCAAAACCTCAAACACAAATTTATGTATGGATTCTCATCAGTATATAAATTCTTATCGTTCTAGTTTCTTGGGTAGTGTCAACTTTAAAGGTGAAGAAATGGTAGCGCTACATAGGAATTTTACTGTGTCTAATTTGCGTATACCGAAGAATACTAAATCAATAGAAAATCCAAAAGAATTAATAAAATGATTTATTTAAGAAAAAAAAGAGGGTTTAAAATAGTTTTTTAATGTAATCGTTCCTCGATTTAAAAAAAACCCTCAACAGTAAATAGCAATAGAAAACATTTCATAAATTTAATAAGAGGATCCAAAAAAATTATTTTTTAGAATATAAAAATTCTGATTTTCAATAATTTTATAGTATATCGTCTTATTTTTACTTAAACATTTTTACATAACATTATTTTCAATGAAAATTAATTTTTATATGAAGATTTTATTTGAAAAAAATACACGTAGCCTATACAAATTTTACACGAAATAACTTTTTTTTAATTTAATAATTATTATTAGCTTCTATTTATTTGTGTTTTATTGTTCTAGCGAACAATTTGTAAGGATTAATAAAGTTTAATCTATGAAAGTTAGCCTTCGATGTGCAACTTAATCGTCTAGAATTCTTTTATGTTCTGGATTTATCTGACAATTATACAATTTGTCCCTTAAAAGTATATAAAAATATACTTATATAAAATACTATATTCTCATTAATCAATTCATTAATGAGAAAGAACAGATTTATATAGAACTGTATTAATCTGTTCTTATTTACAACTCTATATTTTTTATTAATCTGTCTATAATTACTCTAGCTCGTAAAATCTACTCCAAAACAAATCAAGAGAGGAAAAAAAATCACTATACTACTTTTTTCAAATTTTTAAATTTTAATGAATTACTTTTTATTGTTCGAGTCAAAAATAAGATGATATTGATATGAAATGAATATTTATATGTTTAATATTTACAATATAATGAATATATGTTCAGTATAATATAATTTTTATGATGTACATGATTCACTAAATGGTCATTGACAAGTGTGCGATTAGTAACAGACAAAGAACGAATGCAAACTGACTTTTAAGCATAAAATGTGTACAAAATTGATAGATTTTAGAACGATATTCAGTAAAAACTAGAGACAAAGCACTGAAGAATGGCGATTTCTTGTTGAATATACTTTGTACACATCGCAAAATAATTAAAAATAAAGATTATGAAACACTACATAAAAAATATTTAAATGTTTCTGCGGTGTAAGCAATGGATTTTTTAAAATCTTTTTTATATTTGAGAGCAGCTGGTAATCTCTAATGAAAGGCCAATGTTTTAAGTGTTTCTGCGATGCGTATAAAAGACCGTTGAACAAAGCACCGTTCTAACTGCCTTTTAAAAAAAAAAACTGATTTATTTATTTATACAGTATATATAACAGCTCTGAATGTATTAATAATAGAAAATTACTGTCTAGTTATCTGTACAGTATATCTGATTACTATAATTAGTATCTATAAATGAACTTATAAGCATATATAAACTTATAACATTATGTATTATAGTCTCAAACTATTCTTAAAGAAATATGTCAACTGATTCGATGTCCGAGATAAGACGAATTTCATTCTTTATTTATACTTTTTTCTTCTTTGGTAAGATAAATAGGATAGCATCAGTATATTATATATCATTATAAAATGCGGATTTTAATAAATCTCAAAAGATACAGTTTTTATAAATATTTTCAAGATTTTCTGCTAGGATTTCGGCTTCTACAATAATTTTTAGAAAACAAAATCCTCTCGAAACAGAAAGGTTATAATTTTAGCCATAATTTCACTCTTTACCGATCATTCACAGTTAGTTCAATGGGAACGAATTTCTTAACAGTAATTTATTTTATACAGTACACAATGCGGAAAGGAAAATGATTTCTAACCTATTAAACGATAACACGCACTTCTTGATGTAATTTAAATTTGGGTCTCTCATGACGTCAGCACTTTAGTATATCTATTTACACTATTTACTTCGATTCACCTACCATTTTCATATGCAGATGAATGGAGATGTTCATGATTGACTTTACATATAATATCTAAAATTTCGAAAGTTTATAACTGACAATCTAAAATCAGCAATCAAATTTTCAAGTAGATGTAGGCACGTGAACGACAGAGAGAAACAGTTTCATCGCAAGTTGTTAGCAATTGTCATCAAATAGTCAAACAAAGTGAATTACTCATGTGGAATATCACGATTTTGACTTAAATAAATAATTAAAATAGGTATTAATCTTCGAAAATTAGTTCTGCTTCACATCACGATACTGCCATCTTGCTTTAATTCAACATTTTCAAATGATAAATTGATTATTTTGCTGTACTGATCGGTATTGGTTAATTGGATAGTACATAACTTATATACGAAAGTTATATCAAGTCGAAAACGTCTGATCTGTTACTAATCTATGACTAATATAACCTACATAATGAAGATGAAAGCAGTAAGGTTTAAAAATTATTAATATACTGTAGTTAACTGCAAAATGCATAGAAATTTCGGTTAAAAAAGAAGTTACTTGCTGATAAATATGGAATTTTAGAAGTATTTATCTATTAATACATAATAAATATTATCACGCGAATTGTTTACTTTCATCAATAATTTGTACACAGTTCATTTGAGAATTCAAATAAACTGATTTTCATATTCAAATTACTTTCATTAATAATTTAATTTTTAATATTTAAAGAAAATTTAGAGATTCGAATCAGTGAAATATGCTTAGATATAGCTGAATACTAATTTATAACATGTATGTATACAGAGTACGTTGGTAAATCAAAATTATCCTAACATACTTAAGTACGGTAATTAAAAGACAAAAACAACTACTTTTTACGATATATTTCGAAAAATAAATCTCTTATTTCAAAATAAATAAACTTACCTTTTTAACTTTTTCGCCAAAATAATCTAAAATCGGTTGAGTATGTGAGTGAAATGTTTTCAGCCGACTTCTAATGGTTTCTTCATTATCATCCACTCTGCCACTAGTTTCACCTCTTTTTAATAATCTTTGTGTCATCGTATCGTCAGAAACATCAAAAAATAACAAATAAGCGCATTTGCATACCTAAAATTATTTTAAAATATTTTATTAGCTTAATATAAAAACTTTATTCTTAATTTTTTTAATAATTAAAAAGCTTACTTCTTTTTCAAATTGTATAGCTTGGTCCACTTCTCTTGGATAACCGTCTATTAAGAAACCCTTTGATGTATTTAAACGTTTCACAATAGCATCTTTCAGAAGTAATAACACTTGCTCCTGTAATTTTCCATTAAATATATGATAATTTGTCCCCAAAATTTTATACAGGGTGGCCCAAAGTCAGTTAACGGTACTTTGTTTTTTTTTGTGTGTGTACGAATACAAGTTGTAATAAACTGAGGTTGGAACATGTTTGGTATATAAAATTGACGGAGTTTACATCACTAACAAGTTTGTAAATAATAAAATACAGTGGTGCCTCGTATAACGTACGCCTCGAATAACGGACGCTGCGAATAACGGACTTTCTGTTTGACCGTTACGTGACTCGAGCAACGGACTTGCTGCGAACAACGGACTTTCCGTTCGGCAGTTACGTGAGACGAACAATGGACTTTTTTCGAACAAGTGCGAATGATGTTTTCACTCTTTTGCCGATGCCAATGACAATCTGCTATTTGTAGGATATATTAGTATTATTAGAATGTATTATTAGTATATCTGAAGTAGAAATGTAATGTAATATATGTTGATGATTTAAATAAACATTAAATGTAATGTAATA